AAGGTGTTTGAATTAACCACTTCATTCGAGCACTTAAAATGACGTTTACTACCACTCGAACTTTTAAATAAAACATTATTTTGAGATTTTTTCTTCTAGAACCTCGAGAAAAGTAGCCAACATTTGTGCGTTTCATAAAAAATAGAAATTAGTTGGTCCAGTTTTGGGAAATCCCTGGTAGAAAGTCACGCCAAAACTGCTTGACAAAGTGGTCAATTGCAACCATTCAACGATACCTTAAACGACCTTTGCTGGAGGTAGTTACGGGTGATTTTTACAAGATGTGGTGGAAAGTTGAAGTTACAAAGCTTGTACACAAGTCCGTCATGCCAAACATTGTCAAACGCCTTTTCAACGTCTAGCAATGCCATGGCTGTGGACTTGGATACAGCTTTGTTACTTTGAATGTTATTCATCACCCGAACTAGCTGGTGATTTGTGGAATGCCCCTTCCTAAACCCAAACTGTTCAGGTAGGAGAATGTTGTTCTCCTCGACAAACTTGAGCAAACGACTGAGAATTAGTTTCTCGAACAATTTGCTCAGCGCTGAAAGGAAGCTGATTGGTCTGTAGCTGGAAGGTAGTGATGGATCCTTACCGGGTTTGCGGATTGGTATTATTTTCGCTACCTTCCAGAAACTTGGAAAGTAGTGCAGTTCCAAGCATCTATTGAAGATAGCAGTCAAAAGCGAGTACACTTTCGTGCCCAGCTTCTTCAATACCAAGTTGAATATACCGTCAAACCCGGGAGCCTTCATGTTCTTGGTGTTTTTCAGCGCTGAGCAAATCTGCTCCACTGTAATATTTTCTGCCGGAGGGACGACACAAGGGGAGGCATCCAAGTTTTGTACACATTGTGAAACCTGATTTTCAAGCGGACTTTGGATGATGGAGCCAAGCAGATGCGATGAAGCAATGTGGTTGCCAATCGCATTTGCTTTCTCCTGCGGGGTGATTTTGAGCCGATCGTCATCATTTTCGACTCTAAGAGGTGGAACGGGTTTGGGATGAGTTTTCAGCACCTTGGCTACCTTCCAGAATGGACGGGAGCGGTCATCCAGATTCTGGACAACACGCCCGAAACTTTCATTTCGGAGTAAGTCCATTCTGGAAGCAATCGGCCATTTCATGTTTTTTGCTCAGATCTCCAGTCCTCTGAAACTGGCGTCTACGCACATTTCTCAAGCGAATCAGTAACTGGGTGTGGGAATCAATGTCAACAAACTTACCCCTCACAGGAACTTGTCGAACACACGTCTCGTCAGCCATGGATATGGCCTGGTGGAGTCCTTCCAGAGCCCGGTCGATTGTCTCTACGGTGTCAAGCGGCGGATTTTCGTTGATGTTCCGGTCAACCACACGTCCAAACTGGACCCAGTTTACGTGGTGGTAGTCTTTTCGTAGGATTGGAGCAGGAGCTATGTTGATGCCGATCTCAGCCACCACCAGTTGGTGATCGGAGCTTAAGTCGTTGATTGCCACCGGCTTGGATAGCCCGAAGTTCGTCAGGAAGAAGTCCAGCGTGGAAGGGTTTCCCGCCGGAGAGATGAAAGTCGGTTCATCCGGAAATTGCACCGTATACAGCCCATGCTGCGAGTGGTCGAATAGTAGTCTATCGTTCTGGTTCCGTTGGTAGTTGCACCATGCTTCGTGACGAGCATTCAGATCGCCCCCAACAATGAATCGGGAGCTCGTGCGAGTGATAGCGGTGAGGTCGTTCTTGAATTTTATCCTTAGGCCGTTGCTGGCAGCACACTGACGAGGGCAGTATACGGCGATGAACCGGACGTTTCCGGTTGGTGATTCCACCTCCACACTAAGGGCATCGATGATAGAAGTGCGGATATGCGGCAGCGTGCAGAACTTGATTCCTTTCTTGATGATGATCGCAACACCACCCCCCCTGGAGTCGATACGATCAAGCCGGATAATGTTGTGATCAGGCAACCAAAAGCTGTCGCCGGACTTTAGATGGGTCTCTGATAGGAGGCCCACGTCGATACTATGCTTGCGGAGGAAGTCAGCAAGCTCGAACTTTTTGGCTCGTATAGAGCAAGCGTTCCACGTGACTATAGTTAACGGTTTAGACGCCATACTGAATGATAAACTTACCGAGCACTTGGATCTGTTCGGGATTGTTGCGGCACTGACGAAGAGCGCTGGTCATGTCGACGAAAATCTTCATCAGCTCATCCGCAGAAAAGAGATCGGGATTGACGTTTCTTGACGGGGGCCGGATTGCACCCGTGGATTTGCTTGACAGTGTTGCGTAGCACGAAGAGGCGGGAAGTCCTTCACCCTGAATGCCGGAGTGTTTTCCTTCTTCCGTCCTGGTTGGCTTCTTGTGGACGCTTGCTTTCGGATCCGCTTGAAATCCTCGCGTTTGGGCCACTGTTTGTTTGACCCTTGATGAGCTCCACCACAGTTGGCGCATTTGCACGTTTCCGACTCGTCGACAACGCACTCGGAGGAAACATGATTTTGGGCGCATTTGCCACAGCGCGGATTGATGTAGCAGTTTCGGGTGCCGTGCCCGAAATTCAGGCAACGCTGACACTGGGTGACGTCGTGACGGCCGCCACGGTATGGCTCCCATTGAACAATGATGAAGTTGATGGAGCGGATGGCCTTCAACGCATTGAGCGTCACCGTTCCCTTCTGGAAATGAACCAGGAAAAGGCAATCCGGGTACGTTTTCACGTTTTCGTCTCTCCTCGTCATCCGGAAGACTGCGATTGGGGCTAGCTTGTAACGGTCCTTAAGTTCTTCTTCGATCGACTTGGGGTTGAAGTTCGGTAAGCCCCTGATGACTACCTTGAAGGGCTTCTCACCGGGGATGTCATGTATGAAGTATTCCGCCCTGGAATCCTTCAGGTACTTCACGGTTGCTTCGTACTCCGCTTTGGTACGCAGCATCACCTTGGTGCCGATCCTGCTCAGCTTGAATTCAGCTGCAACACCCAGCGATGTGAGATCGCCAATGAGCGTGTTGAGTGGCACTTTCATCACCACCAGTGGAGGAAGCTTGACTTTTGCCGCACTCGGGACGGCAGAATTTCCATGCTCGACGGTACCGCCGAATTCATCGATGTCGTTGACGTTCGTCATGGTGTCACGGCCACTCACACCATCGGACTGGCCCTGATTCTTCTTTCTTTTCTTCGTCCGCTTCACTTCCGCTGGTGGGGCATTCCCAACATCGGTGGGAAGAGTAGCGTACCTATTTGTGATAGGTACGCATGAGCTACCTTCACTACTGTTCACTTTCTCACGGAGCTTGCTCCGGGAGCGCTGCCTTCCCATCACACGATGCGACCGGCACTACGACATGAACAAACGCGCAACTCGAACAACTCGACTGAGCGAGCCAAAACCGGACTAAACTAAACTGTTTGACTACTACACTACTCGAGTCTCAGTTGGAACCATAAATGTACATCAACTGGACTGAATGAGTGAAGTGCAAACGATCCACCAATGATGCAAAACGATAAGCTGATGTGATCTGTTGAGTGATGGGTTGGGTTGACGAAATATACAATTTACGGTTTCCACTCTTTACCAATGTTCGTACCACCTCTGATAGCGATGGCTATGCTTCCACCTCGTTTGTCTGCTCAAAGCAACAAATCTCGATTACTTTTTCAAAGGGACGTATCAGCTTTTGTAAACAATGCATTTGATCGTCGATTTTGCGTAACTGGTAGCTCGCACATGCTTACTAACACCACTAGCAGGTAGAGGAAAATTTCCCCTATATGATGGCATGCGTGAGCGAGCTACCAGTTAAGCCAAATCGACGATCAATTGCATGGAATTTGTCTACAAATTCACTTGGAATGCTTCTAGGAGTTCTCTAAAAAATATCACCAGAATATACTTAGAATACTTCTCGCAATTCCATTGAAATGTTCCTCAAAATTTCATAGGAACATTCCACCAAATTAAATTTTCTTTGATTTTCCTCGGAATTACCTTGAAATTCTCCTTAGTAAGAATTTCTTTGGAAAGATTCTCCGAATTTTCATTGAACTCATTTAAGATTTCTTTTTTGAATCTCCATTGAAGAGATTTAAATGTAATCCTTATTTTAGCATTCCCCTCACGCCCCAGTATTCTCCATTAATATCCAACAACTTATGCTCCGGATTCGTTCATGAACAAACTTCATGAAATTATCCTCAGAATGCCCTTGAAATTTTCTCTTGAAGTTCACAGGAGTTTTGCTCCTCAGAAATTCCTATGAGTTTCCATGAAAATTTATTTTGAATTCAATTTAGGGTTTTACTGAAATTCTATTCAATATCAGGCTTCCCATAAAATCTAAAATTCCTCAGAACTACCTTGAAATCATATTGCACTTGATGTTTTCCTCAAAGATTATTTTCCAAGAACATCCTTGAAATGAGGTCCAAGGAAATTGCAATTAAATTCCGTGAGCCTTTAATACTGGACAAAGGATTTGACTTGAGATTCTTGAAAATTTCTTGAAGTAGGTGGGGGTAAAATTGGGCCAAAAAATCGAAATATTCGTTCTTTTTTCTTACAACAGTCACATTTTAACAAGGAAAATAGTTTTAAGATTCCCATATGAATACTTATCAATGATATATTATTGACTGTCATGGAAATGGTTGATGCCTCATTTTACTAAAATTAAATAAAAAATAGACCAATGTAAAATATTGGGCCAAATGGTTCAACTCCTATAATTTGAATGGGAAAAAGAGAGTGAGTCAATTTGTCTCAGTATCTGATTTATTACTTTCGACGGACGTGTATATTTTTCATTGAACATTGAACATTGAATCTGATTGAGTCCGCACTACTCAGATTCATACGATTCCTTCTGGTAAACTTCAGCCAACCCTAGTCAACCTAGATACCGTCCTGTATTATAGCAAAGCTTCTATTGTTCCTCGTTTCCCATTTTGCTCTACACTTTGTTTTTGTTTCTCTTCATACAACAAAAAGCGCAATCAATCATAAAGTAGTGGATGTCCATCCATCCAGCTGCTGTACTGTTCGCTGTGCCTTCGTTCCAACATCCAACATAACATAACTGATGGATCCAACATCGAAAGGTTCTAAATAATCGGAATGAGTGTATCGACTAATCACTAACAAAAACTAACTTGAGTGGCCGTTAACATGAACCAACTCATCCGATAGAAATCAATACGGTGGCTGCATCACAAGGTAAACAATATTGTCCATCATGGGCTGTATCCACTGATTCCATTTTATTCCAACAAAAGGAAACCATTTTCAATGGATCAACCATGTTCATCTCAATCGGATTTTTGGACAAGTTTTAAAACTGAAGGATCACACACGCCATCACAGGATTACCTCCAACCGAAGAAGGAATCATCAGAATATCTCAGTTATTTTGATATTGAAACATTCTACGACAGCGTTGCCTACGGCGACGGACCAGCATGCCACGTTAAGCCAGATTATCCGTTCTCGTGGGGAGCTCAAACCCATTGTTCATATTCGTATGCTCAATCTGACGATGGTCCATTGGATCAGAATAACAACCACAACAACAACTATTGTGATTTGACATCCTATCAAGATTTGGAAAGTGTTGCGCAAGCTGATCTTTGTACACAGGTAGCCCAAGAAGTTGCTTCATTTCCTGCTGGTGAATCTTTCCTCTCACCCATACTTCAAGAATCGGACGAAGTGCCACCAGAACTGGTGAAAAACCTCTTACAGATGGAAGAATCTAGCATGCCAGTTCCGATCAAGCAGGAAATTTCCGAGGAAATCCCAGCAGTCCCGCCTCCTGTCGTGGAATTCCCGTTCCATCTCCCCCTTAAGAAACGTCGTTATGTTATCGCTCAGCACAATGCTGATGGCAAGTATCCCTGTCCTTCGTGTGACCGGGCTTTCAACCGTCAAGGCCATCTAACCCAGCACTGCAACGCCCACCATTCGGGTCCTATGGAGCAGCGTTGCCATATTTGCGGGAAGCGGTTCCGCCTGCGGGAGGAGTTGGAGAAGCATCAACTTCGACACAAGGAACAGAACAAGACGTGGGAATGTGAGCATTGTCCGAAAAAGTTCAACTACAAGTTCGACATGATTCGACACGTAAAGGCCGTTCACACTGAAGCACCGCACAGTTGTCAATTCTGTGGCAAAGGAGTTGTACGGTTGGATCATCTTCGGCAACATGAGAACAAACACCGCAGGATGATGAAGAATGCTGCCAGTAAGGTTTCGACGATGAAAAGAAAAAGAGATGACAACGACGGCTAGGGTGAAAGAAGAATTTAAATAAATACGACAGTTCAAAATAAATAACAATGCTGACCGTAGCATAATTTTAAAGGCAGTCCATGCAAACCCTATTTTATTGAAAAGAAATCGAGTCACCTCCTACAGGCGTTCCGTGCACTTGATATTTCGCCCACAAACTTTCAGGCAATCATTTTTACCTAAATAGGATTACTGTAAACATGGATAGTGCCGAACAGTAACGGTACCTGAAATATTTGGGCATCTTTGGAAATGCCTCAAGTTTCCAAAAGTGACTGTGTTTGTTGTGTCTAAAATCGGATGGTGATTAACTTTGGCTTATTGAAAATAATAAACTTTAATCTGATGAACCCTCCTTATTTATGCATCCATATTTTCGTTTTCGTTAGAACCGTTTTTCCAAACAAAACAAAAATGTTCGAAAAATACGGTTTGAACGAAAGTAAGAATCACTCGAAGATCGCAGTAGGTGGTGCCGTGAATCCATTTGTGCCATTGCTATTTCTCAGCTGTTTTCCAACCGATTGAGCTGATGTTTTGTATGGGATTAATGAGAACCATAAACTGGTCACTTACAGAACATTAGCTCAAACCCCTCCCCTCCCTACAGTGTCTACGTGTTTTATGAACAGTCCCTTCGATGTATTAGCGTATTGTCACAGAACAGAAGTGGGACTTCGGAACAGAAAGTGGCTACACTTTTCAACACTAGCGCACCTAGTGGCAGAAGGAATCTTCTGCCAGCAGTTAAGATAGACAGTATGCTATGATAGTGTGAGTGCGCATATAAATCCCGTGTGGTATGCTACCACAACGCATAGCTTGTTGAGCAGAAAAACGTATCACTTTTTGATTCACCGATTTGTTTACACTTCCCCTTCTGTTCTGAGGTGCCAATCATCGAGCGAACTTTGTTTGTGAATAATATCATGTTCACTAGGATGGGTCATCATGGTCATTTTTTCAGAACAATGTTTTGTTGGTTCCATTTGGGGTCCTAAACAACTATGCAAAATTTGGGGACGATTGGTTGTAACACGGCTTTCCGCATTGCGTTTGAAATTTGTATAGTATAGCCCAGGAAGTGCTCAACAACTTTGCCAAAGGATGTATTGTTCTAGAATGCCCTCAAAAAAAAAGTTATAGCTGTTCAAAGATTAATGTTTCGAATTAAATGCCAAAAATCCCTTTTTCTGCCAACACCAATGTGTACCAATGAAAGTCAGACTAAGAACTGAAATAATTTCAAAGTTGATTATTTTATCGGTTTGGTATGTTCAGATGAATTATTCAAAAACAATTTTTCAATCTCATAGGCATATTAAGAGATGAGGGGGGCTAACTAGACCCCGCCCCCTTCACTCATATAAATGGAAGTAAAGCTTCAAACAGCAATAACTTCGGTGTTTCTGATCTTGTCAAGTTGGTATGTTCAGATGTATTCAAAAGCATGTGCTACATTTAATAGGCGTAGTTAGATATGGGGGCTTACTGTATCCTTTCCGCCCCTCACTTATATCAATGAAAGTAAACGTAAAGACTAAAATAACTTCGGAGTTTCCCATGTCTCGAGTTATTTTGGTGGGTTATTCAAAAACATTTGCTCAATCTTAAACACTGAAATAAGGACCATAGTTAAGAATACTATTTTTCAGAAAACACTTATTTTCAATATAACCTCGCTTATTACCGTTAAATCTACTATGAATTCAGTATAGTTGACTATGAATGTTAACAAATTAACTATGATTCTGGCAAAACTACTATGCTTGCTCAAGATGCATAGTAATTTTGATAGATATAATAGTGAAATAAAATAAAATTGTTTTCTGCAAAAATCTATTGGTGAAGGTATTTAATTTAAACCTGCAATATAGTATTTTTCCAATGGATTTTGTTTCAGTGTAAGAGCAGTTTGAACGCGAGTACCCCTATTCCCTTCCCTACTCTTTTGGTGCAATATACAATGTCAGATATATTCACACAAATGTCATTGGATTGTAATGATTATATTTTATTTTATTATATTCTACGATTTCCCAAGGTACACTTTTCGATGCTGTTCTATCCCCTGAAGCAAATATTGCTGTTGAACTACACTCAAAAAATTCTACACGTTAATGCTACGTGAAAAATCACGTAGATCTCAATACGTATATTTTTTGTGAGTTTACCTGACGCAAGTAGAATTTATTTATCAGTATTTGATGTTCATAAGGAAAACATTTCATATCCACTTTTTTATCCCATAACATTTACGTGAAAATCACATAAGTTGAAGGCACTCTTTTGACAGCTTGACCTTCACGTACATGCTACGTGTTTTACATGTATGAAAAAATAAAAAACATGGCCACTCTGCAGTACATACTGCAAGAGGTGTTAGCTGATTTACAGATTTTGAACGGTAAAAGTTATTTTATTGTATAAATAATGTGGTATAATTTGTATTATTTGTTTTACAGAGTGTGGAATTGAATTTTTCGAGTTACAGGAAGGACTGGACAGTACAATTTGGAAGTACTCTGTACTCTGAGTTAATTTACTCCAGACGAACACGCCACCTCAGCCAGCAACATAAACAGAAGGAAAAGAGTGTTCCCGCGAGTCCACGAGAACTTACTTCAAACATATAGATTATTCCAGCAATGAAACTTCCGGTGAAACCTTCCACTCCATCAGCTGTCCCCAAAGCAATTCCACAACCAAAACAATTAAGTTGAAACTCCACCGGCATCACCTGCCCCAGCATCAGCGTTTCACTGCCTTCGCCGTGATCATCCTGCGTTCGAAAATCTCCCTCAAGGATCCGGGCGACTTGCTGTTCATGTTCATGGAACAGTTCCATCTTCCGAAGCGGCCAGAAATAAGCAGAATGCAGAATAACAAAATAATGTTATCCAAGGTGAAAAAAAGGTTAATCGCTATTGCAACACCAGTAAATGTGTTAGTTTAATGAATGCAATAAATAATAATGAGATAATTAACGCAAGTATTGAAGTATTTACTTTACACAAATCAATGAAATTCTATAGAAAAGTAAGTACAATTCATCCAAAAATAATATATTCTTCATTTGGTTTTAATTTAACTTATACCATGATTCCATTTAAAATCTACTGAAATATGTTGTTGTTAATACTGAAATTTCACTTAGCTTGTACGTGAAACTCCAATATTAAAATTGAGAATGGAAGCTTTCTTCACTACATGGAAGTCACGTAAGTATTACGTGAAAAGTGCGATGGAAAAAATCCACACATGTTTTCACGTAGCATTAACGTGTAGAATTTTTTGAGTGTAGGTCTCGGTGAATTTCTTGTTAAGTCAGAAATTAGTTTCACACCTCATTCAGCCATATCGTTGACAACCATCAACGAAGCAACTCGTTGTATCGCATTGAAATAATCTGTATCATTACTCCACTCGTTTGCTGGTTTTTGCATGAAGCCGGTCGAAATTTCGAAAAGGAATCAGCACTGTTAGAAATGACGTTTGACTTGGGACCCCAACGGAAAGCGAAATCCGACTGTACCTGTGTCTGAGACGAAACTGATGAAGACAGTTTCCGTTTTCTACTGTTTTTGGTTTTTTACATACGACTACTACTGCCGAATGGCAGTTTAATATTTCAAATAAAAGCTTTATATAGAAATAATATAGCAGCTGGACAAATAATTCAAACAACATCCCCTCACTAACAAATGAACCGACAAGTGGATATTAAATATTTACACTACAACAATTTTCGTTTTAAAACTTCTTATAGAGTACCCCCCCCCCCCATCCCCTTTCTAACTACGCTTTTGAAATTGAGCAAATATTTTTGAAGAATTTATCCTGAACATACCAAATCGATAAGATAAGAAACTCCGAAGTTATTTAAGTTTGAAACTTTACTTCTATTGATATGAGTGAGGGGACGGGGTATATTATAACCCCCAACCCCCCACCCCCACCCCGTCTCCAACTACACATATGAGATAGAGCAATTGTTTTTGAATAATTCATAAGAAACTCCGAAAATATTTCAGTTTGGAATCTGACTCCCATTGGTACACCGGGAGTGTTGGCAGAAAAAGGGATTTTTGGTGTTATTCAAACCATAAATATTTGAATAGTTATAACTCTTTTTAGATACATTATAGCTTCGAACTTCCTTTGGCAAAGTTGTTAGACACTTCCTGGACTATATTTGTACATGCTTAGTTGCATGGTTCATACAAAATGTGGTCTCTAGGGATAAAAATGCAAAAAAGTTGGTTTACCCATACTAATTTTAAACGCAATGCGGAAAGCAGAATTACAACCAATCGTCCCCAAATTTTGTACAATTGTTTGGGACTCCAAATGGAACCTAGAAAGGGTTTGCGGGTTACGTTCTCGATTGGTGAGGTAAAGTTTGCGTTTTTCCATATAAGGCTGACCCACACACACTGTTCACGCTATTTCAAAACTCCCCAAATTTGGGTAGAATCCACCCAGATCGGTCAAAACAGAACCTACCCAAAAATGGGTAAACTGTGTTGGGAGTGACAAGTTGACAAACGGACAACATCAACATGAATCAGATCGACTTTGCTCATTTGTCAACTTGTCACTCCCAACATAGTTTACCTATTTTTGGGTGGGTTCATTTATGACCGATCTAGATAGATTATACCCAACTTTGGGTAGTTTTTAAATAGCGTGTATTTTGACAGCTCGAATGTTTTGTTTTGCTCGTTGAATAATACAGAGAATACGCGAACCTGTAGTCGCTATATTCCGAGGGGGACGACTTGCGACGACGATGCAGAAAAGATTTTGTTTTGCTGTGGCTAGCTGCGCACACGCTGAGTAGATAGACAGAAGATTGATGACGAATCTGAAGATTTCCTGCAAAAAGATGATGCGCGATGCAAGTAGATTTTTCGGAGATTGATTCGCTAGTGTGAGATTTGTTGAGCATCTAAACTTGAGATTTAGCTGTATCGCCCCCTCGCTATATTCATAGTCTGGATGATAAAATTTCGATCTATCAAAAAGCGGAACAAATTCAATATATTTTCGACT